TGTTTCCCTGTTAATCATTAAAAGACCTTCAAGGTTTCAGTCAGTCCTAAGGCCACCCAACCAAAGATTATATTTTCCCATCCTTCCTTGGAGCTATATATGGTCTTGTTGCTAGGTTCAAGTCAATAGGATGTAAGTAGGGGTGAGGTGTGGAGATTTCCATGTTTTACATTACATTAAAGGTAAAGCTACTACCTCTGACTTCCTTCCTCTTTTCCTTTTCCATAGGCTGAAACGCCAAGTGTGGATGAAGAAACCTGAATTCCTGAATGATCCTGTGGAGCAGAAATGCCCTCCCATGCTAGAGAGCTCACTTCACTCAATGCTGTTACGTGAGAATGAAGCAAACTTCCGCTGTGCTTGGGTTAAGGTGATCATATGAATCTTAAACTCTTCCACACAGTCCACGCAGGAGCACGCTATAGGAATCACCATTGGCAATGGGAGCCTAGGGTTGGGTGGACGTTTATAAGAAATGATGCCAAAGTACAGCTTCTGTAGCAGGTGCTATGAGGTGGAGGCTCTTGCAGGATCCTGTTAAGGACTCACTTTAAGCCACCTTTAGGCTTCTGCCATACCTGACCATTGCCTGCTTAGGAAGAGAGGACAAATTAGCACCATTTAAATGGAAGATTTCGATTCCCTCTCTGCACGTTTTCCAGGCCCAAAAACATCAAAGAGGAAAGAAGAGATATGAAAGAGAAAAGCACACTCCCTTCCGTGGGGCATGGGAAGGCTTCTGAATTAGGAGGAAGAGAATTCAGCTGGATATGAATGTGAAGCCTTAAACTAGACCAGTCGTAGTATATTGGATATTTTTATATCTGAAGATGACCATAAAGTGTTAACCTTAGATGTCATGTAGGGAAGGGCAAGAGAGATACATCAGAGCCTAAAAAGGCCAGTCATTGGAAAAAATAATATTTTTCTTCTTTTTAAAAAACATTTATTTAATTTGTTTGAAAGACAGAGTTATAGAGAGAGGTAGTAACAGAGAAAGAGAGGTCTTCCATCTGCTGGTTCATTCCCCGGATGGTCACAACCAGGAGCCAGGAGCTGCTTCAAGGACTTGGGCCATCCTGTGTTGCTCTCCCAGGTGCATTAGCAGGAACAGGATGGGAAGTGGAGCAGCTGGGATGTGAACTGGTGCCCACATAGGATGTCAGTGCTGCAGGCTGGGGATTTAACCCACTGCGCCACAGCACTGGCCCCTACTTTTCATCTTTAATCTCTACTGAGTTTAGGCCAATTGATAAAAGATGTATTTATTTATTTCAAACTTTTTAAAAGATGTATTTATTTATTTTTATTTTTTAAAATTTATTTTATTTGACATTTAGAGTTACAGAGAGAGGGAGAGACAGAAAGAAAGGTCTTCCATCCACTAGTTCACTCCCCAAATGCCCACAATGGCCAGAGCTGGGCTGATCTGAACCCAGGAGCCAGGAGCTTCTTCCATGTGGCCATCTTCTACTGCTTTCCCAGGCCATAGCAGACAGCTGAATTGGAAGAGAAGCAGTCGGACATGGACCGGCACCCATATGGAATGCTGGCACTTAGGTGGAGACTTAGCCTACTATGACACAGCGCTGCCCCAACTGATTATAAACTTTAAAACAAACAAACCAACATCCCAGGTAGAATTAACACTCTAACACTTCTCCTATCCTCATTTGGCTGTGGCTTCTGCCTTATGAAAAGTGTAAGGTGAGAGGGGCGAACTGGCCAGAGAGGGGTGGATGTCAGAGATCTAGACTCAGGAACCCCTAGAGCATTGCAGGCCAAGAACAGAACAGCTTTCCCCTGGCTGGGGAGTGAGGGCTGGAGAGGGGAGCACTCAGAAAGTCTTTGCAGGGCATGGTGAATAAACGCTTCTACACCACTCTGATGGCTTCGGTTTCTGTGGATGCGCTCAGTAAGAGGAACACTTCTGACCTCTCTCTGCCGCTATATTCACTCCTTCCCAGAAGAATTGGAAAAACTGAACTTATTATTAAATTTGAGGAAAATAGACAGCTCAATTTTTTCTTATCTTATTGAGAGTTAACAGTGCCAAGGGCCATGTACTCTATCCATCCATAGCACAAGTAGCAGAGGACACTGACCCCATGGAGAAACCTGCAGTGGTGGCTAGTGACCAAGTTGGCCTGATTTCAACAGCAGGAGGTGCATTAGCCCAACATAGAAGCCATGATGTTCAACTTAGCTTGTATCAGTAATGAATGTAGTATTTAATTTGATTTTATTTGCCTCCTTCCAACTTAGTCCTCTTAGTTCTCAACAAGTTCAGAACTTGTATGGAGGAAAAGATTAACATTGAGTCTTCTCCACCCACCCCAGAGGGCATCCATAAAACTGAACAGAACAATAGCACACTGTAGAGGACAGAAACAACAGCCAGAGGACAGGAAAGGCAGAGATGATTGGAAAACATCTCAAATTATCTGTGTGACATTCCAATGCTACCTTGGAACTCCCAGAGAAACCCCACAAAGAAGGCCTGAATGTACCACACGGCAGGCAGAGACTAGGAATAGAACAGATTTAGGAGCAAACTCTTAAGTGACTTAGGCCCAGCTCCATCAGCTAAGGGGAGACTCAGCCTGAAATAGTCAACTAACACTTGAGGACTTCCAGCAAGGTAAATAAATATGATCCCAGGTATTTTATAGGACTTAGGGGAGAGGTAGTCTAATATCCAATAAGTTTATAGTCTAACACAATTTAATGAAATGTCAACTTTTCTTCCTGCCATGGGAACCACATTTTCCTCAGAGGTTTCCACTCAAATTCTTTCCAGTTTCACCTTTCCTTGCTTTATTGATTTTGTAGCCTGGTAGAGAAGGTAGGACATTAAATTTGTTTAAAGAAATCAACCAATGAGGTCCATATGAACCACTCAAATCCTGTAGAAGGCAGAAGGTTCCCAAGGCAGTAGGATTTTGAAGATGTTCACAAATCGATGTCAAGAAACAGAGGTGTGGATTTGCATTGCCATTCCTAACTGAATTTTTTCCTGTCGGGTCAAAAAAGCATTAATCCAGCCTGATTCCTGTCCTAAATAAGTGTTTCATAATGGGATTTGTACAAGGTTTCATTACAACACAGCTAATGAGAGCCAGATTGGTTGTGGTCAAGTTATATTTGGCATTTTGTGGGCTACATCTTTGTAAATAGGCCAGATCGTGGCCTTAATTGGGGTCATTTGGGGGCTTTGGAGTGGTGCAATAAGGTCACTTATTCACTCCTGTGGTTCTTCATCAGTCATTTTATGTGCCAAAGTGCAGCAAGCATGAAGAAACCAGAGCACATATTTGCTTCTGGACAAACAGCAGGCTTCCAACGCATGCTATGCTGCAGATGATTCGAGGTGTCAGAAACAATTTTCCTCAAGCTTGTGGTGTTCATTCCCTTTCTCAGAAGTAGGAAGTCAGGGTAGGTTGGCACGCAGGAAGGAGTCGGGAAGGACTTTGTTCCAAGTACAACTCTGTCACTTTCTTTAGTCAGGTTCCTAAACTGCTGTAGCTTTAGGTAGGATCCTTAATCTTTCTCAGTTTCCATCTCCTCGTCTGCAAAATGGGTTAAGAAGACTTCAACACTTCAGGAGACTAATGCCAGCATTAATGAGATGGCATATGCAAATATTTAATGTATATTAGGCACTAAAAATGATAAAATAGATTCAATATCACAGACAATAGACAATCCGGAGTTGTTTGATTAATAAACGTAGGGAAATGAGCACTACAAAAAATACATAATTTGAAAATATGTTAAGTAGGGAAATCAAGAAGAAACTAACTGAATAAAAGCATAAACTATTCATCCCACCTAATGCTAAGCGCTGCGGGGGTTTATGGAGTCCATGGCTTTGAAGTAGGTAGCCATACAGGTTAAAATTGATTAGGTTTGTGAGCTGGAAGACCACGCCTTCTCCACACCCCTGTGTGACCTCACGCCCCTACCTGGCCACACCTGGGTGCCCACCAGCCAATCAGGTTAATTAACCACTCCCTTTTGGAAGTGGGTTACAAGCCTGGGACAGGGTGTGTTCCAGCCTTCTCTTCTTCCCTGGCCTCTTGCCAGGAGGGGGCTTGCTGTAGCCCTGCGCTTCCAGGGTGCATGGCCTTCAGGCCACTAGGCTTCCTAGCCTAGATGCTCCTCCACGTGGCTCCTGGTGCTCAGTGTGAACCCAGATTTACCTCTCTCTCTCACTCTCAGATAAAGCTCTCACTCTCCTATGCATCTTTTTTTTTTTTTTTTTTGACAGGCAGAGTGGACAGTGAGAGAGAGAGACAGAGAGAAAGGTCTTCCTTTGCCGTTGGTTCACCCTCCAATGGCCGCCGCGGCCGGCGCGCTGCGGCCAGCGCACCGCGCTGATCCGATGGCAGGAGCCAGGAGCCAGGTGCTTCTCCTGGTCTCCCATGGGGTGCAGGGCCCAAGCACTTGGGCCATCCTCCACTGCACTCCCTGGCCACAGCAGAGAGCTGGCCTGGAAGAGGGGCAACCGGGACAGAATCCGGCGCCCCAACCGGGACTAGAACCCGGTGTGCCGGTGACACTAGGCGGAGGATTAGCCTAGTGAGCCGCGGCGCCGGCCCATGCTGCTTTGTTTATTTATGCCGATATTTAGAATTCTTCTTTAAATATTAGGCAAGAACCCTCTTGGGCTTATTAATATTGGGATTTATTAATAAGCATTTGGTGATATCATATGTCACCCCAAATTCCGGTAGCATATGTGGCACCCCCGATAGCGCTTCTGGGGAACTTTAAAGGGCCACATTTTTGGTGTAGATTTTAGGGGGTCATCTCCCGATATCAGCTTCTCCCCTGAGGTAAACTTGATGCTGTCAGAGATATGACTTAGATACCCAGGAACTACATACAGATACACCTGAAGCAGTGAGAGAACAACACAAATCAAACAGCAACCAAATCCTTGCAGTCATAGAGCTGAAACCCTTTAAATATCTGTCAAGTGAGAGAACAAGTCTTACCTTCATCAAATAACAGACTGTATGGTTTCAAGACTTTATGAAGGAGGCATGAGCATCTGGGTGGACCCGCTCCCTGGAAAAACAATTCTGGTGAAATCTGGTGGCAATCATTTAAGTCTCTGAAAACTGTCCTAAGGGCATATGACACATGGAGAGAGAGTCACTCATTCTACTAAATCTTGGTGAGAAGAGTTGGAGTCTGTGGCATCTGAGGCAGATTTTATCCCTCAACTCCTCCCACAGCCTCGGGCCATGGGAGCTCTATTTGCCTTTCAAATAAAGTCTGTGAGGCCACAAGGCAGCAGCTGCCTCTTCTTCCAAGTCCCCGGTTGGCAGGGCTAGGGAGGCAGTCTGCCATTTCTTATCTTCCCTAGCCCCGCTGCAGAAGTTCTATGCTAGGCAGGAATGGCCAAAAGGGTTGCTTTCCCACCTCCACCTGGCCCTGAGTCACAGCATGGAAGCTTTACCTCCTGGGCAGAGGCTGAGAACACTGGGGTTCTCCTGCCCTCCCCCTCACTTGCCTGTAGGGTACAGGAGGGGCAAGACAAGAAGATCCGGGCTGCCACTCTCCCCCAGGCCCCTCCCAGGGCTCACCCAGAGAGTGGGGTCATCCAGGCAAAGGCGGCTCTTAGGGACGGAGGAGTGCTGCCGCTCTGAGAGGACTGACTTCATTTCTTGAAGTGTGGGGCAGTCCACACCCAAGCCCATGTGGAAAACAGTGGAGGGCAATGAAGACGGGGCTGGCGGCACTGTTACAGGAAATGAGAGAGTGGAAGTTTAGGAGAAAGATTCAGAAAACGGGACTACCAAGAAAAGCTTCCTGGGGATCACAAATCAACTCGGGTCAGGAAGTGATGTGCCCAGGTGCTCCGTTGCACCTGCTCAGGGACAATCACAGCAGGATGTGGGTCGACTAGGAAGGATCTCCCCAGCTGCTCACAGAGCTGTCAACATGCAGAAGACGTCTCATTAGCACAAAGAGCTGAGCCACAGCACCTGACCCACCACTGACTGAGCAATAAGCTATCTGACCCACGGTGACACCGAGGAGGTCAGGTTTTAAAAATAAAATCACAAGCATCCCTGAAGGTGTGCATGCCCAGGGATGCATCCCAGGAACCCCTGTGCTACCAGTCCCTCACTGAATAAGGCCCAAACGGTAAGCTCCCCAGATTGTAACCAAAGCTTCCAAACCACATGCATCCATTGGTAAAGGGTGAAAACTAACTAGTACAGGAGGTAATGCACAACTTTGGCCAACATATGCCTTGCAACCAACACAGAGGTACCCTTTAGCCAGTCAGATGAAAGATGCAAACCAAGGAGAAAAAATCTGAGCGGGGCCCAGCATTGTGGCACAGAGGGTTAAGCAGCTTCTTAGGACCCCAGCAGCTCATATGGGGGTGTTAGTTTGAGTCCTGGTTGCTCTGCTTCTGATCCAGATCCCCGCTAATGTGTCTGGGAAGCAGGGATGATGGCCCAAGTACTTAAGCTCCTGCCACCCATGTGGGAGGTCGGGAAGGAGTTCCACACATTTGGAGAGTGAGCCAGCAGATGGAATATTCTCTCTCTCTCTCTTTCTCTCTTTCCCTTGCAGCCTATCACTCTGCCTTTCAAATAAATAAATATTTTCTACATAGATCTGAGCAGGAGCATCAAGGCTGCACATTGTGGTGCAAATAGACTTTGTATAATTCTATCAGAGAAATTGCTAAACAAAAACACCAACAATATTCCCTGGGGGATTAATATTCAAAGTTGTTACAGTATATTATCTAAAATACCCAGTTTTCAACAAAAAACTACGAGTCATGCAAAAAAAAAAAAAAAAAGGTGAGGGGGCAGAAAAGGAAGCAGGCAGTAGAAACTGCTTTTAAGGGCTCTCTCTGGTGGACTTCACAGACTTCAAAACAGCTATGTTACAAAAACCCTTGGAGAGGGGCTGGCGCTGTGGCACAGCGGGTTAATGCCCTGGGCTGAAGTACTGGCATCCCATATGGGCACCGGTTCGGGACCCAGCTGCTCCATTTCCGATCCAGTTCTCTGCTATGGTCTGGGAAAGCAGTAGAAGATGGCCCAGGTCCTTGGGCCCCTGCACACGCATGGGAGACCTGGAAGAAGCTCCTGGCTCCTGGATTCGGATCAGTGCAGCTCTCGCCATTGCGGCCAATTGGGGAGTGAACCATTGGATGGAAGACTCTCTCTCTCTCTCTCTGCCTCTCTTCTCTCTGTGTAACTCTGCCTTTCAAATAAAAAAAATAAATCTTTAAAAAAAATAAAAATAAAAACGCTTGGAGGAAAATACACAGGTAAAGCTTCATGACTGGGGGTTAGGCAATAGTTTCTCACCCATGACACCAAAGCACAAGCAATGAAAGGATAAATAGATAAACTGAACTATGTCAAAACTGGTAACTTCTGTGCTGTGAACAACATCACAAAAGTGAAATGACATCACACAGAATGGAGACAATATTTACAAATCATGGATCTGATAAGGGTTCTGTAAAAAGAAGGTACAAAGAACTCTTAGAATTCTTCTTTATTGGCCGGTGCTGCGGGTCACTAGGCTAATCCTCCGCCTGCGGCGCTGGCACCCTGAGGTTCTAGTCCCGGTTGTGGTGCTGGAGTCTGTCTTGGTTGCTCCTCTTCCAGTCCAGCTCTCTGTTGTGGCCCAGGAAGGCAGTGGAGGATGGCCCAAGTGCTTGGGCCCTGCACCCGCATGGGAGACCAGGAGAAGCACCTGGCTCCTGGCTTCAGATCAGCGCAGTGCACCAGCCGCAGCAGCCATTGGGGGGTGAACCAATGGAAAAGGAAGACCTTTCTCTCTGTCTCTCTCTCTCACTGTCCACTCTGCCTGTCAAAAAAAAATTCTTCTTTATTTTCATGTTATTTAAAAGACAGACACATATAGACACAGAGGGAGGGAGAGAGAGAGAGAGAGAAACAGCTCTTCCATCCCTGGTTCACTCCCCAAATACCTGCAGCAGTTGAAGCTGGGCCAGGCTAAAGCCAGGAGCCCGGAAGTCAATCTGGTTCTCTTGTGTGGGTGGCAGGGAACTGAGCACTGGAGTCATCATCTTCCGCCTCCCGGAGTGCACATTAACAGGAAGCTGGCATCAGAAATGGAACTGGAACTGCAACTTGAACCCAGGCACTCAGTATGATGTGTGCGCATCCTACGTGGTGTCTTAACCCCTGTGCCAAATGCCTTCCCCTGGAACTCTTTTAACTCAATAATAAAAAGACAAGTAACCCTATTTTGAAAATGAGCAAAGGATTTGAATAGACATTTCTCAACGAAGATATACAAATGGCCAATTAACACATACCTGGATGTTCAACATCATTATTTATTAGAGAAATATAAGTCAAAACCACAGTGATAGACCTCATTACATCACTCAGATGGCTATAAGAAAAATTAAACAAAAAGTATGGAGAAGATACCAATAGTTGGAAACTTCCTGCATTGCTGGAGGGAATGTAAACTGGTACAGCTACCTTGGACCACATTTTGGCAGTTCTTTGAAGTGCTCAATATAGAGTCATTATATGACTCAGGAATTCCTCTCCAAGGTATATGCTCCAGAGAAATGAAAACATGTAAACACACAAAAATTTATACAGAAATATTCATAGCAACATTATTCATAATAACAAAAATAGGAAATAACTAGTACCCATCAGCTAATGATTCATAAATAAAATGTGGCATATCCTTAAAATGGAATATTACTGGGCAATAATCATGAATGCACTATTGATGGATACAGCATGGATAAACCTTGCAAACACTATTCTAAGTGAAAGGATCTAGTCACTAATGGTCACATATTTAATGATTCTAGCCATATAAAATGTCTCAAATAGGTAAATCCATACAGACATCAAGTAGACTGATGGTTGCTAAGGACCGGAAGATTGAGGGGAAAAGGGTATAGGTTGCTTTGGGAATTGATCAAGATATTCTAATATTGATTGCAATGATAGGTACACCATGTTGTAAAATACAAGAAAACTTTGATTTGTGTATTTACATGTGTGGATCACTTGGTATGTTAATTGCATCTCAATAAAGCTGTTAAAAGAAACATATAGATCATGTATTACAGAGACAAACTCCTTGATTGTTTAGGAGAGGAAAGTAATAGAGACCAAAGTCAGTAGGGAATGTTTCGGGGAAGAAACCAGAGTTAGACCTTGCAGACGTGTATGTCTGTCCACATTGTGGATGTGTGAAGTGGGCAGTGTTCCCTTCTATAAAAGAGTAACTTTTGTCCGATCATCAATGGGCAGCTATGAGATATTTTTACACAAGAAAGTGAGCTGATAGAAATTTTTAAAGAAATAATATTCTAGCAGGAAGAACTGGAGAGGAGAAAGCTGAGAGTCAAATATCAGATGAGGAGCTGCTAAAGAAGACCTGAGCCAGGCAGCCTGAGTTGGGAGTGGAGAGGCCTGGGCGGGTGGGAGCTCAGGTTCTAGCACCTCGGGAACTACAAAATGAGTCACACAAAGACATAGTACATATTGCTTCTTACCTTGGGTTTCTTTGTAGACATAAGAACCATGGCCCTTGCTACATCTTAGGTTCCCTGGCCGCAAGAAAATCATGCGATTTTCATTTTCAGTCATATGGAAGACCGGGAATCTGGCTCTATCTTCTTGACAAAAACAAGCAAAAATTCTAACTTAAAAAAACTTTTAAAGCCTCTGGAAAGCATCTAAGAGTTGACAGAACAGGAAGGAATCATCTAGTCCCATTTGGAGAAAAACCCAGAGAGGAAGCAAAGCTCAGGAAAAGATTTTGTCCTGAGAATATTTCTTGAATCTTGTGTGTAGTGTTTTTTTAAAATAGTTTATTTATTTATTTTTTGAAGGCAGAGTTAGAGAGAGCAAGAGAGAAAGTGAGAGAGAGAATCTTCTATCTGCTCACTCTCCAAATGGCCACAATGACCAGGTGGGCCAGGCAAATGCCAAGAGCCTAGAACTCTATCTGGGTCTCCCACATGGGTGACAGGGTTCCAAGTACTCAGGTAATCTTCTGTTGTTTTCCAGGCACACTAGCAAGGAGCTAGATGGAAGGGTAGCAACAGGGACGTGAACCTGCACTTACATGGGATACTGGTGTCACAGGCGGTGACTTAACCTGCAGTTCCATAACACTGGTCCCTGAATTTTGTGTTCTTAAATTTTTTTTCACAGCTTGCAGAGAACAGAGTCTGAAAGATAAAGCCCAGCTGGAGAGTCCCAAGGGAGACCCTTTCCCTATAAAACAGGATGCTCAGAGTGGCAAGCCCTCAGAATCAGGGCGATCCAGAACGACACTTCCTTACCCCAGTACTCACAGTGAGTGCATGGAATGCTCCTTGGGATCTGAGCAGAGCAGTGAGACGTTCTGACCAAAAGCCAAAGCCACATTTGGTCCATGTTCCAAATATCTCAAGCCTTAAAGTTACTAACTTTCAAGTTGTTCTAGACTGGTAGCGCTCACAGTTCTGCGGGAGAAACTGATGCAAATTCTTTCTGAGAAATGGACCTTTGTCCCAGGTCTCAACGAAACCCAGATGGAATTTTCCAAAGGAAAGGAGCAGTTCAAATTAAAAGTCCATAGGCACACGATGAGTACACGGAGAGTAAGAACTAACAGAAATGACTGACAGACAAGACCTCAGGTATTACTTTACCAGACAGAAGAACTATGCTTATTACGTTTCAAGGAATAAAAAAGATAAGCTTACAAACAGCTGCAAGAAAGGAGAAGCTAAAAATAGCCTATTAGATTTGGGAAATAGTCAAGTAGAAATCTCAGAAATGAAAGTGATAACAATTACAATTAATTAGCTCATGGATTTGTCAACATTCCAGGCATAGTTGAAGACAGATTTAGTAATCCGGAAGATAGAATTTATCCAGATGCAACATAGAGAGTCATAAGGAAGGGGTGTTAGACTGGATTGACTGTGTAAGGCCTGGGAAACTCCCACCTTAGTTTCTCAAGAAAAGGATACTTCCTTTCCTAAGGTTAGAACACACGCAGTGGTGAAAGGAGTCCAGGTGTCTTTGAGAAACGCTGCAGTTCAATGTTGGGCTGCAGGAGTGTGAGTGGGGTTCTATCATAGGATTACACTTCCAAGTCTCAACAGAGATAATGGAATCCAAGAATGGACAAGGTTAAGTCCTGGTACCTATTGACCAGGAGCATGATGAAGTTTATAACCATAACAGGCCCCAAAGTTAAAGCATCAACCAAGGTTCTTTGACTCACAGAGATCTGTGATGATAGTGGATAAGTGATTATATTCATAGGATAATGAGAGATGAACAGATGATTATGGTGTTTATCGTGTTGTGAAGGTTAACTTGAGAGCTGATAAGCAGAGTATCAGTGTTAGCCATGCTAATATGAAAACCATGCTTCTTTGCCCAGTTTTAAATCTCAATTCACACGTTCAGAGTTCATTGACTATAAGGAAGGTTAGGTCCCTTGAGAAAGGCCCTGCATGCCCTCGTGAGTGGATACAATAAACATCCCGACATTTCACCAGAGTTTTGTATACATTTGTCACTACACCATGCCTTGCATCGTGGGGGTGGCAGAAACGATCAAGCAGAAACCCTTATAACTGACCTTCTCATTTTCCTTTTTTAAAAATGAAAATAAAGCAATCTATTTTATTTCATTAAAATTTATTTATTTGAACAGTAGAGTGACAGAGAAAGGGAGAAAGAGAGAGAAAGAGGTCTTCCATGCCCTGGTTCACTTCCCAGATGATTGCAACAGCCAGAGTTAGGACAGGCTGATGCCAGGAGTCAGGG